TGTCACACCTAGTGGTAACTGATGTCCTGACTCTACCTTCCTGAGAGCTGAGGCATTTATTTACTTTGTGGGTACCAGTTTGATCTTGAGGTGGCTCAGAGGCTGAAGATTTTCTACAAGAAATAGAAGAGACCATTTCTGGAACATTTGTGACAAGGTCATCAAGGGTCCATTCCAAGAGTAAGAAGGAAGACAACGTCAGAAAGGAACACACACTTGAGGGGTGCATTGGGAAGGATAGCACAAACTTGGGGAATTTTAATGTGTTTCCTGTGAAAGGAGGTGCAGATTACTGCCAGTTACCTGGAGGGGTTGAGACCACTCGACCTAGATTTTCCTGTGGTGTGAGCATTTTAAGAACATTAACTCTCAGCCTGTAGGGTCTCTCACAAGTGTGGTCTTCATCTACTCCTACACTGCAGATTTAAAGAGGATATATTTATTCAAAATCCTGATTTGAAATCCATGTGTGTTGTTTTTGCTTTAATCAATCTATTTTTAAGCTAGTTTTCATTTGTATCTCATATATATTATGCTGATATTCAAATAGCAATCATCTAGCCAAAGAGAGAGGTAAAGTTAACTAACCAGAAGTATAGAAGTCATGACATATTCCTTTGAAAACAAAGTAATATGTTAATTTGAAGTCTTTTTATGCTAACAGACTAATGTTCTTAAGAGAAGCCAACATGGTTTTTCTACTGGATACAGGTTGGAGGGAGATAAATATTTGCCAAATGGAAAAAGCATGCTACTGAGGAAAGACAAACTGTTTTTCAGGTTCTCAAAAACCATGCAAAGTAGAAACCAAAACCAATAGGGAAATTAAAAAAAAAATACCTTTGAAGTCTCACTTTTTGGTAGTCCCACAGAGGTGTTGAAATTTAACACAAAATATATCACTGTTTTTAAGCCTTCATTTTTAGAGATGGTTAATTCTTCCAGTTGATTTTTCAGGTCATGGAAGAAGCTGGTAGTAATTTTAACCCTGCCTAAAGAAAACAGAATATTTTATTTGTGAGCAAACATTCATTGACTTGGACAACAGCACTACAATAGCCTGTTAGTCTTAGAATAATATGCATCACTTACAAACTCTGCAAATTTTAAAATAAGAATGATAATTAAATTAAAGATAGTTGACTATATTGTAATCAGGCATTCAAGAACTTAACTGGAACATATAACAATAAACTTTGTTAGTTTAAAGATTTTTATGCTAACAGAATAATGTAATTTAGCTACTCATTCTAAAAATGGTGTATGTTATTAATATTGTATGATATACTGGAAAGACTACCACTTTTTTGGAAGAAAGACTCAACATTTTATAATTGTTTTGTATACAATTTTTATATTTTTGTCAAATTTTTAGGTTTTTAATTTGTTAAAAAGCCTTTACTTTGTATGGCATGCTGGAAATAGGGTATTGATTTTAAACTTTATGACGCCAAGCAATTAGCTACATTTGTAATACAAGTCAATCAATCTACAAAATGAATTAAGTTTCATCCTGCATGCAGAAGTTACCTGTACTACTGTTTCATACTTGCTCTTTTAAGTTGCTTTCAGGAAGCAGATATTCAACCTTCATGAGTGCTACATCTCATAAACTAGTGGAAAAGATGTGAATTTTGTGTTTGAGTTGGAATCTGTTCTGGGAAACTTCTCTGAAAATTCAGCTTAAAACTGCTATGGAAACATAGACACATCCAATTGTATGACACGTTTATCAGGGGTTTTTAATAGAGATAATATTGTACTTAGTGACCACACACACCTATGTGCACATAGGAAAAATGTGGAAATT